ATTTATTTATTTATTGTTGTTATACAAATGGTTTGTCGTTTCGAAACGGGGGCAGTGCCCCTCGTGGGGGCTCGGGGGTTGTCTCCGAAAGGAAATTCTAATTTCCGTATATGTGTTTGAGAGTTGTATCTGTTGGAAGTTAACCGTTTTTCTCCAACATACATACCCAATACTAGATGTAGAGGCTTTCTTCGCGCAGTATGGAGACACAAATCTACGCGGGCACGAAGAGGAAATCTCTCCGCATAGCGCGAAGACACAGATCTCCACGCTCCGTGAACGCGGAGACATGGGTCTCCATGCAGCGCGGAGAGCCTCCTCGTGCAAGGAGAGAGCCTCCGCGTGCGTGGAGATTTTTTCGCACAGCGCGGCATGTCTCCGTCTCCATGCTACGCGAAGACCAGCGTGGAGAAGTTCTCCGCTTCAAACACTGTTCATTAAACTGATTATTCTACAGTGCCTATTTTGGGTTATATCAGGGCCTAAATGAAACCAGTTCCCCTCTATTGACCACCAAAGAAGACCCTAACTCATTCCTAAGAATTCTCAGATCTAGAAACTCGACCTTATTATTGCCGTTTATACTGATATTAAATGTGATTTGGGTTTTGTATTTTAGTTTCATAAAAATTATTGAAATTTGTGGAGTGTCTCTGTAGAGAATTTGATTCTGTGGGTTGCTTTGAATTGGCCAAGTCTGATTAGATAATTTGGGGTTTCACAAATTTAAGGGGACATCGTGACTTAATATGCTTTAAGGACATGAGTTTTTGGGTACTTTTTATTTTCCTTGAGGTTGTTAGTAGTTAATTCGTGGAGATGAAGTTTGGCTTCATTATAGTTTGACATTCATATATTTTAGGAGAGTGAGAAGAGAGAAGTTTGGCTGTATAAGGTTATGCGAAGTCTGCTTAGATAATTTTGGCTTTCACAAATTTCAGGGTCGCTCTACTCCGTCCCATTCAGTGCACCCTGTTGGAATATTTCAATATTAGACCCTTCTTCTAGATCCTTCTCCTATTTGTTATTAAATGCTT